GGCCGGCCCCACACCCCTTGTGCGGGTAGGGGGAGGGGAGGGGAGGGGAGTGCTCGCTCTGCTTTTCCCTCTGTGTGTGTGTGTGTGTGTGTGTGTGTACTCTGTTTTGTTTGCAGTGTATACATATGCTCTGCTTTCCAGTATCTGCGTGTGTATGTTCTGCTTCCCGCGGTGTCCACGTGGGTCCGCACGCTCTGTTTTCATTGTGTGTGTGTGTGTGTACGCCCCACTTCCCACTGTGTGTGTTTGTGCATGGGCACGCTCTTCTTTCCACTGTGTGTGTTTGCACATGCATGTGTGTACGCCATGCTTCCCACTGTATACATGTGGGTGTGCGGGCTCTGCTTTTCATTTGTGTGTGCATATGTACACTGTACTTTCCACTGTGTGTGCGTGCATGTGTACGCTCTGCTTTCCACTTCTTTTGCCAAGTTTCCTAACATAAGTTGTAATAGACTGAGAAGCAACTGCTAATTCCACTGCAAACTTCATAAAACCCATTTTGTTCATTAAGATTCCCTAGTCTTCTTTATTCCTTTACTTACATTTGCAGCCCCAACCTCCACCATGGCTGATGTCACTCCCTTGAAATAAATAATATAAAATATGCTTATTTCTCACTGTTAAATCTACAGATTGAATTTCAGATCTTACATAATTTATCCTTTAAATGTGTTTATTTGCTTCGGGAGACAGCCTCGATATTGGTTGGTGCCATGGGAGTGACACTGACAAGAGCAGCGCAGTGGACCTCTGCTGGTTCTGGACCTGGCACACTGGAAATCACCCCTTTGAATGAATCTCTCCTAAATGAAATTATTAAATTTACGGAGGGCTTCCACTATAGACATCCTCAAGAAGCAGCATTTGTCTTCAGAGAGCCACTTGAATGGAAAACACGCTTGGATTATTCAGTATTTGAGTCAGGTTATGAAATCAGGTAAGTCTGAATCACAGTGCTTTTTGGAGCATATATTAAACATGAGCTACAAAGTAAAAGGAAAAAAGTGCTCAGTTTCCATAAAGAATGTCTTCTTTTTGTATTTTATTTTTTTCTGAACACCTTTTCACAGTGAAAATGGTAGGTTTAGATTGTAACCCTTATCTTGGAGCACTCTGGAAGTACACGCAGTCCTCGACTTACGTTTCGAGTTATAATGTTTCGCACTTACAACGTTTATAAATTGACACCCTGTTTCAACTTTATGATGTCAGTTTCGACTTACAACGCTTGATCCGATGTGATGCCATGCCAGCAAACAAGTTCACTGCGTCACTAATCTCCCTGGAGAACATCTGTCCAAACTTCCTTGGACGCTTTCTTTCAGAAAGCAGACAAGACTCCTGAGAAGACTCCAGCCAAGAACCCTTCAAAAGTGTGCGGGCCAGGAGCAGTCCGAGGCCCCTTTTTCGCACGGCGGGCTGTGGCCAGCAGCCCGGACACGCCGGGTCGGGGAAGGCAGGCGGCACGCTAGAATTAGGCACGGACGCTTAATGGTTGTTTAAGATTGTTTACTTACACCGTAGATGGTCGCGGTGCAGGCTGGAAAGCTTCCAGGAATACTTCGCTTAAATCCTAGTTTTAGGACTCGGACAGAGCTCTGGATTCACTCACGCGAAGTTTTCGAGGCTCCGTGGAACTTTTGCGCGCAGGGAAGAGGGATACGTCGAGGATTGCGCTCAGCGACGGGGAGAGGCTAGAGGCTGATCAGACCCCTGTTGCCTTCTTGATATTCACGCTGGGTCCAATAGGCTTCGCAGCGCTTAGAGATCTTCACGAGACGTGAAGTCTCCTCCTCCTGATGTTCGTGGAGTCCTCCAACTTGGGCGGAAACCACTCAA